TGGAACGATACAACAGTTATCCTAATATTAAAGGCGAACTAACAAAGAATGTTAGTACAGTTAGAATTAGGATAAGTAGTAAGTAAACGAATAAGAAATGTAAAGTTAGTTAGTCTTAAGATTTACCTTAATAAAGCAAGAACGAACAGCTTAAGCTTTTCAATTACATATAATACATTTCTCGCGTGAGTCGTGTCAAGCTGCCATGTTATTTTGTGCAATATTGTTTTTCATTTCATCAAGGAAATACTTACGCCTAAACAACGTAACAAATCGTTTAACTTTTTTTCAGAATAGACCACGTCCAGCACGTAGTGAAGAAAATATAACAGAGGAGACCGTGGAAAGACGATTCGGCGACTCTTCGCATTTTATGTCCAGATCTTGAATTAGAAGAGTAGAAATACAGCTTATGCAAGAGCTGAATCCGTACGATCTTCCCAAGTGACATAGCTTCGCTCTAAGTTCTAAGAAGATCCCACGTTTTCAAGCAAAATTTGGTTCCATTCCCCATAAAATTTGAATTTTCTGTGTTTTTCTTTAAAGAAGTAAGGAATGTATCACTCTTTATTTCGAACTAAAGTTTTCAGACTTGGTACAAACCTTCTTCCTTTGCTTTCAAACACAATTACATTAGAATGGTATATATGAAATATTTAGAATATTTATATACTAATTAAGCAATTTTACATTACATATGTTATTTGTTATTAAAAAAAGAAATTTTAAATGTAGATAGAAATAAAATACTCTAATATCGAATGAAACGTAATTTGAAATATGCAAATAAATTTATACTTAAAGAATCTCTATTAAGACTTATGTTTAAAATAGAAAAGATTACATATAAATTATATAATATATATCTTAAGTGTATTGTAAAACGATTTATTTTCATATTCCTCAATACATTGGTATGCGGCTTAAATTAATTATAAGCCTAAAAAACAAAACTAAAGTACGGTTATCTAAATATCTAAATATTTTCACTGCGAATGTACAGTAAATAATTGTGGCAACACTTACTTCTAATTAAAATTTACACGGAAATCTCATATACCACTTTACTCTGTGAGACTATAAGTGGTTACGCCCGAACATAGCCCTTCCTTACTTGCTCTAATATCATTTAGTTTAAACATATATTTTTTTTTGATGTCACATATTCGACGTGTTTGCATGCGATACATTTTAAGAAAGCCAGAAACATACATGCTTGGGGTTGTTAAAAAAGCCGTGTGTTTTTTTCCGCATCGTATTCTGAAAAATTGGTTGATAGATACCTCTAGGAAAGGCTCTCCAAGTATGAGCTTTTAATTTTAACGGGAAGGTCCACAAACTAACGGTTTCTTATGGATTCTGTATGAAATTGAATGCTCTTCAAAAAGATCAGTAAAATTTTTTTCGTAAACCTAACCGCTGAAAGGATATTCATGGATAAAATTTGGTTATTTTAAAGAAAACATGTGTTTCGTAAGAATTTTATAGCTCAACGAAAAAAAAAAATATTATAAATCGGAAAAATTCTAGATTTGTAGGAAATTTACTGCTCTACAAAAATGGGCCTTTATTTCATATTATTTAATTTCTGTTAAAAGTATTTTTTTATTATTAATCGAAAAATTAAATAGACCATTTTGGTAGAGCAGAAACTTTCCTAAAATACTATGGGCGTTGAAATTTAAAATGATGTTTATTTGAATGATGAAATGATGTTTATTATAAATTGCAACGCCCATAGTCTTGCATATGAGATATAAAAATCCAAAAAAAAAAAAACAACTTTTCCTTGAAATAGTTAAAATTCAAACGTTTATAGTTTTAAAACGATTAACTTTACGAAAAACTCGTAGAAGATCATTTTGTAGAGCATTCAATTTTCTATACAGCCTATGAAACCAAATATTTTTTAAGTAGTTGAAAGCGAGATACAAATTTTTCTTATCTGATAGTATAAAAAAAAAAAATAAAACCGTTAGGTGGGGGACCTCCCCGTTACAATTATGATCTCATACTTAGTGAGCCTTTCTTAGGGGTCTATCTACCAATTATCATAGTACCAACGATTATTTGTTAACGATTATTTGTTTGATAATCACAATTTACAGTGTTTCCATGAAGGTGGACTGTGAAAACTCTAATAGTTTATGACAACCTAAATATAAACTTTTAAATAACTTCTCCCACTCATACTATAAAGTTAAATCATACCAGGCGGTTCAATAAGTTTTGCATTAGGAAAAACGATTTTTTTCTTCTGCAAACTGGGCCTTTTTTCACAAATTTTTTCTTTAAAAAGGTTGAAATAATATTCAGAATTAATTTTTGTACCAGTTTGGAGCAAATCCACAAATAAATTTCCTTTCGCATCTCAAAAAACTGATGCTACAACCTTCTTGGCCGATTTCCGGACACGAATTCGTTTCGAAGCCGAACAACTAGGTTCACACAAATCTTTAGCCTTTTTTTTTTGATTCAGGATCATGATGATAAACTCAAGTCTCATACATGTGGATGAATCGACGCACAGAATCCACTTTATGCTTTTTAAAACGATCAAAATGTTGCTCAGAAAGTCGCACTCGAATCTGTTTTTGTTCCAATATTAGTGAATTCGGTATCCATTGTGCACACAGCTTTCTAAAACCCTAAATTTCACTTAAAATATGGCTCACACTTCTACTAAATCTCCCTCAGTCAGTCGACGATCTTCCACAACCATATCCTGTATTTTGTCTATGATTTCTGGTGTTGATGCGCTTTTTAGATGTCCTTCACGTGGATCTTCTTCCAGGTTTGTACGACCAAATTTTTACTGTTTAATTGTCGATGAACAATCATTATTATATAATTTGTATAGAGGGTCTACTCGTACATGTATAATAATCATTGCAGTGTTCAGTTAGAGAAAATCGTACTGCGGTGGTTGTTTTACATAAGTGTGGAAAAAACGCAAGTGAAATTTATGAGCTTTTCAAAATAAACTAAAGGTAAAGTAGTTACGTAATAATCTCTTCGATAGAGAACATTGGATCTTCCAGCAAGATTATGTTCCAGGAGAAGGCAAAACTACCTGCAGTGTCTTAAAAATAACATTCCTGGTTTCATGTGTGTTCTCTGATTAGTATACTAACTTAGCTGATGGGACTGACATATTTTTTTATAACTGCTGCAGTGAGTTCAAGTTTGTGGGAAAAAGCAGCCGCTGGCATGCAAGCCCTCACCATTGCGGAAACGTGTTTGACCGTAGCAAGCAAGTTTTTTGATAATAACGATTCTTTGTGTTTGAGGTATATTTTTTATTTGTTAACTCGCTTTCATCGCTAAATAAGATTTTGCATCTTCATTAATATATTTTGTAGCAAAATCGACACGTTTTTATATAATTTATTAATAAACGATTTTTGGGTACACAACTGTGAAATCTGCTGCCTCTATTTCTTAAAGTTTCTGGATGCTCAGAAGCAATAAAGCTTTAAAATGTTTCGCAATTTCTATAGTCGAAACCCGAGGATGTTTCTTAATTTCCCCTAAAAAAGCCCAGCCGTGCTGACTCGAAACTCTTTATGGACGTGTGATCGTTCATCCCATTAGTGTTGGTTCCTGGCAAATTCTCTTAATGTATGCTTCGGTGGTCACAATTAGTTGGACTCCTGGCATTTTTTATTAGAACATAGCTCTATTAGTTATATGAAATATTGGTTTACCTAATATCTTTATTTGAGTATTTTTGATTAGAATTTACTTATTATTAAATTCATGCAATTTCTGTCCTTCATCCTACACTATGTATACAAAATATTTTTCTTACAGATACTGCTCCGCCGCCTTACCAAGAAATGGAGAGATCGAAATTCGAAGGTAATTTTATTTATTCATACCCCAATGTTTCCATCGTTTAATGTATTATGTGAATTCGCTACCCAAAATTTTTTATATTTTATACATGAACACACTTYACCCAAACCAATAGCTCAAATTATAGGTAAAAGCTGGACAGAACGTCTTTGATTTTCCATCGATCTCTTTTTAAAATTGTCTGCACCATAAACACAACTATTGGTTTATTGCTTATGTAAGTGACGATTATAGTAAAAATTTAATTCAATTGACGAGATATGGTACTTGCATAGATCGCGTCGATAAGTAATAATTTTTTCGTAAAGTTAAAAGAAGTAATTTTGAAAGTTTTGGTTTTGGTGAAGTGATTAGTGTGATAATATGACTTTATACTATATTTATATATCCATCAAATGAAATATGGAATATATTTATTATTTTACAGAAGAAGACTGCGCCAAAATATTAAGCAATACCAACTTTTCGACCAAAAAATTCACAATAACCGATGTTAAAGGTAAAATAATTTACTAAATTCCCAAAACTAAGCGTATATCTTTCTAGCTATGATTTTATTTTGATTTCAACCCTCTCTTGCCCGACGCGTTGTCTATAGGCAACATTGTACTTATGCTATTATAAATCCCGTTATTCTTAACGGTTTTTTGTGCAGTAAACTAAGGTTTTGTGTATGCATATACCAAGTATCAACAAAAAAGTCTTGTAATTGTTCAACTGTGAGCTCACACGTGATCACAATTTTTTTGTTTTTTTAAAAGCCTGTCCAAAATAATAGAATAAAAAGTTGAACAAAACACTTTTTGTGTTATATAGTAAGTGATTTTTGTAACTAAATACAGGTAAAGCTTAGTATCCAGCTCTCAAGAAATCTAAAAACTTCATATAAAAAAACGGTTAAGAAACGGTCAAGTAACTTTCCTGCGATGAATTTACTTGTGCTAATATGCAGCTATAAAGAAATCTAGTACTAATTTTTAATAAATTTTTTTCAATAAAAAGTGAATATGACAAACCTGATTTTGCGAAGAAACATGAAATCAACAATTGTTTCTTGAAGGAAATTCAAAGTAATCGTTAAATTCATCCTAAATTAGTTAAATTCATTATTATGAAGTATTTTTTTTTTTTTTTTTTTGAAATGTTGTATAAAACTTACCAATCATCAACCACATTCCTTAAATCAAGGAAAATGTGTATATACTTACACACATAAGTATATTTTCTTGTTTATTTTCTCTTACTCTCCTTATGTGCATCATTTACAATGCGTAAACTGCTCTCAAATTTATTTGACTACAGCTCAAGAAATAAGCAATATTTTTCTTGAGTATTTACTTGAGAGATGGAACGTAACTTTTAGCCAAAAAAGAGTTTGGAAAATGGGTTWTACAAATTAAATTACACTAACAATGAGACAAATAACAACATAAATTACGCTTATTCTAATGTTTTAAAAAATTATGTCATAAATGAAAAAATGAATTAAGTAATTATCAAACGAATAAAATTAACTATCACACTATCTAATATAATATCTCTACCTGGTAATAAGCTTTGCGAGTGAATTTAAGCAATATAGAATGTCCTGCAGCCATAAGGCAGCAAAAATACATTCGTTTGACGGCGAACTAAACAGAGAAGGCGAAACTGGATTTTGGACTCGCCACGAAAAAATATCCTTCCAATGAAAACGAAACAACAGGTCACCCCCCTTTTGATGACGACGCCTGCAAACGTGTTAAGGATTATGATTTGAGTGCATGCACCTGGAATGTCCGGTCCCTTAGTTGGGGAGCTCCCGCTGTCTAACTGGTTGCTGTCCTCGTTAGGGTAAAGGCTGACATCACCGCTGTCCAAGAAATGCAATGGATGGGGCAAGTACTGAAGCGAGCAGTTCTTTACGGCATTTACTACAGTGGCTAAATAAAGGAGCATAAGTTCAGGATGAGATTCGTTGTGGGAGAAAAACTCCGTCGCTGAGCACTGTCATTCACTCCGGGGGATGAACGTCTAGCCACAATCCGCATCACAGCGAAGTTCTTCGACATATCACTCATTTGAGCCCACGCCCCGACGGAAGAGAAGACCGTTGTGACCAAAGATGGATCATACTCTTGTGAATCCACCAGAGCTGATCTAGTAACGGATGTTCAGAGTGATTTGACAGTGTGATAAATGACAGTGAAAGCATAACACCAGGAGATGTTGAACTCGATTTCATAATCGATGACGGTGGAACAGTTCCATTGCCCGACAAGAAGAAGTTTGAATAGCAATTACCCATCTATTAATAAAAGTAATAAGGAGCATTCATCAGCATCTTTGTAAAATATGGTCGTACGAGAGCATGTCCAACGATTGGAATTTAAATGTGCTCCGCTCTGCTGCTGTAGAAAATAATTCGAAATGCAGAACTTAATCGAGCAGGTACAATCTTTTAGAAGAGTGTACAGCTGCTGGCGTATGCCAGGTGCGGTATTGGTATCATCGGCCTCAACACCCGCGAAGTTAGTTCTGCTTTCTACAGACTGGACAAGGGATATAAGCATATGAGCTTGGAAGTGAACGAGGGCAAGACGAAATATCTCCTGTCAACAAACAAACAGTCGTGGCACAGTCATAATTTTGAAGTCGTAGATAATTTCGTCTACTTTTGAACCAGTATTAACCCTGTCTCTTATACACATCTAGATGTGTATAAGAGACAGGCTTTCTACAGACTGGACAAGGGATATAAGCATATGAGCTTGGAAGTGAACGAGGGCAAGACGAAATATCTCCTGTCAACAAACAAACAGTCGTGGCACAGTCATAATTTTGAAGTCGTAGATAATTTCGTCTACTTTTGAACCAGTATTAACCTCAACAACAACACTCTGGAACATTTTTGGGATTATTGTCACATACAAACGCCAAACCCTTTGAGGGTTTTACTATACTGACCTAGTACCTTCACCCTGACTTGGAATTTCTCACCCCCCAGATTAGCTGTTGTACTGTGCAATGTAAGATTTGAAATCCTAATCTTCGGACCGAGTAGGCAATTGAGAAGTAAAGTCCTCTCTCGACAAGCAAAGACTAATCTCTATAAGTCACTCATTACCATTGTATAAACCTACAAGTAACAAATCCTACCATTTTCACTCATACATACACAAGCGAAAGCTTATAGAGTGACAGAAATTACATTAAGAATGTAATAGAAAGAGGGAAGACTCAGGGGCACACGCAGTTCGTTAGGGTTTCCTAAATATTCTACTACTAAAATGCCAAAGATTAAATTTATCTAGTTTTGATTAAAATTTTATTTATTGTATCAAAATATTTGTAAATCTTTTCTATTTTATTAAAAATATTTGAAGAATATACATTTTTTTGTTTAAATTAATACAAATAGTTTTGTTTAGTATTGTACATATTATATGGGTGAAAATAGGCCTCCGGGGGAACCTAATACCCAAAAAATATCGGTAACGCGCCTATATTGCATCCTATTTTTTATTTTTAAGTCCATTTATTTGAATCACTGTGCCGAAAAATCAACTATTTCGATCAGGTGATCTCAGCTGTTGACGACCATACGATTATTTTGTTACTTGTATATTTCTACAATGCTCATTATTCACGTCCTGCCAGTGTTTGATTTGATACTGGCAGTGAAAGAATCAGATGGAATTTTAATTTGCGTTATATGTGAAGTAGACATGTAATAGTTATCCGATTTTTACATTGTGTGATAGGAACGGTTGAGTATATATCACCTACTAAATTTGTTTGAAAATGGTCGGGTAGTTATTACGTATATAGGATTTCATCTAAAAGTTGGCGGTGCCACACCCATTATTAAAGTTTTCCATCTTATTCTCTTTAGCACCATTTGGGATGAGAAGTTGAATGCTTGTGTCGAATTTATTCAGTGAGTTATCGCACTTTCATTAGTTTTCAACATAACCGTTATATTGTTAGTGGGCGTGGTTATTATCTGAAGTTACCCATTTTTACAAAGTGTGAAGAAATTTTAAAAAGACGCCAAGTTTGGTCGAAATAGCTTTAGCGGTTTGGAAGATATGTACTGTAAACTATTTTGAGGATGGGACCACGCCCATTTTTTAAAAAAGCCAACACACAGAAATGCCAGTTCGGTGTCTAAATATAGTGCTTAGTAATGGCTCTATATAGGTTTTCTTTTAAAGGAGTTTTAAGATCGTGACAGTGCTCCGATTACGCCCATCTGCAATACCGGCTTCTTGGGTATTAGGAATCTAGTTTCATCAAGATATCTCAAAGTTTACTTAAGTTACAAAGATACTATACTTTATAAAAAAGTATGGTCCTTTTTTGCCTTCTGCCAAAAATCCTTACCAAGCAGTGACATGTTGTCGATGTACATACATATTTGCTTTTAGAAAATCTCACTTGGGATATCAGAACCCCAAGAGCGGCAATTTTAGCTATTAACTGTTAGCTTTGCTTTTATTTTAGGGTTAGGCTGAACCCACACCGGGTTAGCCAAAACAGTTTTTCTTGTCTTATACGACAACTCCTCGTAGCTTCATATGTGACAACCCACACCGAACATAACGGAACGAAAACGCATTTCGAGCTTTGAACGCACACCAGGTGCGATAAACTCGTCTTTGTTTCCGATCAATACACCGAATGAAACAGACAAGACAACACAGAAAAACACGGCAAAATGTTATAACAAATTTATATACAGGAGTTACGCTTTTGCGGTAGTTTGTATTTTGCTTCAGAATTAAATGTTTTATTAAAAACACCAAATATTTGAATGTTGACAACACCTGCATCCTTGTGAAATTTCGAAATTTTCTCGGATGAATTCTCATTTCAGAAATCAAATGTGTAGTAATATTTTTTAAAATCTGTCTGTTTTATTTATTATTTATTCTTGGGTCAAATTTAGTAATTCAAATTTCCTGTCAACCGATTAATCTGAAATTTTGTATGCACTTTGGATTTTGGTGACAATACAAATGTTTATTCATTATCATTATAAATTCAAGATGGCCGCAGATACAAAATGGCGGATAACGTAGGTTTTATCAATCCCATCAACATGGGTATCAAATGAAAGGTCTCAAGAAGTAGAATACAATTTATTATGCAAAATTGAAATCTAAAATGGCTAGTGCTCAGCCCCTGGTGTGGATAGAGGGGAGGTTGAAGGCTTTCCTGAAAGCCCCAGGTGTGAACTAACTCGCAAATTAATTTTTATCCGCCCCCCTCCCCCCTTCAAAGGGATTAGTAAATGGCGATATAGGCTACATCAACGAAATCGTTTGGCCTCAATTTCCTCGAATTCAGATGTACCTTCCGTCCGAATTGATTTCACATGAGACAGTACATGTTATACACCCGAAAGCCATACAGTTTCCAGCTAAGGACAATTACGGAACGGCTGAAAGAAGAATGTTGCCTTTAATACTATCATGGGCTTCTACAATACATAAAATGCAGGGCAGCTCTGTGGAT